ATCTCCATACTTTATTATCTATCCATTGATAAAATAGCTCCCATATTAAATAATATTGTTTATCTTCCTGTTCTCTTATTTCAAATGTCAATCTACTCATTTCAGCACAATCCAATATTTTCATAATAATGTCTTCATCAGTAATTATCTTCTCTCCTTTCCAGATTTTGGCAAATACAATTCTGGCCACTGTTAAAATGTTCACAATTAAGTATTGTAATTCTTTATTAAATGTCTCTGGTAAAATTCCTAATAAAAATATCTCTGGTTTAAGATCAATATGTCTCTTTGTCATTTTTTTCAACCATGTGTGTATCTTAGTCCAAAATCTCCTTGCTTCTACGCATCTACACCACATATGGTAATAAGATCTTGGGGTCTGATGGCATTTCCATCACTTTTTTTATCCCTTTATCTTTATCTTTATTTGATTTATATACCGCCCTACTCCCGAAGGACTCAGGTCGGTGAACAGCCAAACGATAAAATACATAAATACAAAATTTAAAAACAGAATAAAACCGAATTAAACAATTTGGCCCAGACAGATTTAAAACACCTCAATTCTTTAAAAAGATTAAATTTTTCATATTAAAAAGAAAAAGGGAAAAGATTAGGCCAGGCCTGCCTGGTGGAATAAAAAGGTCTTGAGAGTGCGGCGGAAGGTGCGCAGATCCGGGATCCTCCATATCTCCGGGGGGAGCTCATTCCAGATAGTAGATGCCCCCACAGAGAAGGGTCTCCCCCTAGGGGCCACCAGTTGACATTGTTTGGCCGATGGCATCCGGAGGAGCCCCTCTCTATGAGAGCGTACCGGCCAGTGGGAGGCTATTGGTGGTAGTAGGTGGTCCCGTAGATAACCAGGTCCTAAGTCATGGAGCGCTCTAAAGGTGGTAACCAAAACCTTGAAGTGCACCCGGAAGACCACCGGGAGCCAGTGCAGCTCGCGCAGGAGAGGTGTTACATGGGAACATCATGTCGCTCCCATTACCACCCACGCAGCCACACTCTGCACCAGTTGGAGCCTCCGGGTGCTCCTCAAGGGGAGCCGCATGTAGAGAGCATTGCAATAGTCCAGGCGGGAAGTGACGAGGGCATGAGTGACCATGTGTAAGGAGTCCCGATCCAGAAAGGGACGCAACTGGTGAATCAGGCGGACCTGATGAAAAATCCTCCTGGTCACGGCCATCAAGTGCTCTTCTAAAGACAGCCGTGAATCCAGGAGGATGCCCAAGTTGCGAGCCCTCTCCATGGGGGCCAATGATTCGCCCCCAATAGTCAGTGACATCGGAAACCACAGCCACTCGGTCTTGGATGGGTTGAGCCTGAGCCTATTCCTCCCCATCCAGATCCGCACGGCCTCCAGGCACCGGGACATCACTTCAAGGGCATCGTTGGGGTGGTCCGGGGTAGAGATGTACAGCTGAGTGTCATCAGTGTACTGGTGGTAGTTCACCCCAAAACCACGGATGATCTCGCCCAGCGGCTTTACATAAATGTTGAACAAGAGGGGCGAGAGGACCGACCCTTGCGGCACCCCACATATGAGGGGCCTCGGGGTCGACCTCTGCCCCCCTGCCAACACAGACTGCAACACAGTGCCTCCCACCCCTAACTCTTCCAACCGGTGCAGCATGATACCATGGTCGATGGTATCAAAAGCCGCTGAGAGATCTAATAGGACCAGGACAGAGGAGCAACCCCTGTCCCGAGCCTTCCAGAGATCATCTACCAATGCGATCAATGCCATTTCTGTGCTATACCCAGGCCTGAAACCCGACTGGAACGGATCTAGATATGTCGTTTCATTCAGGTGCTGGGGGAACTGTTGCGCAACCACGCTCTCAACAACCTTCACCACAAAGCGAAGGTTGGAGACTGGATGATAATTAACCAACATTGCCAGGTCCAGGGAAGGCTTCTTGAGGAGAGACCTCACCACTGCCTCTTTCAAGGCGGCGGGAAAGTCACCCTCACCCAATGAAGCATTTATAATCCCCTGGAGCCAGCCTCGTGTCACCTCCCGGGAAGCCAGCACTAACCAGGAGGGACACGGGTCCAACAAACATGTGGTAGCGTTCAGTCTGCCCAGAATCCTGTCCACATCATCAGGAGTCACAGGATCAAACTCATCCCAGATAACATTCTCAAGACCTGCCACAGTCCCTCCCCCTGAGACTACCCAATCGGAGTCCAGATCTTCCCGAATCTGAGTGATTTTGTCATACAGATACTGAACAAAATCCTCGGCTCTACCCTCCAAGGGGTCCTCCTGCGCTTCCTGGTGGAACAGGGAGCGGGTCACCCTAAACAGGGTGGCCGGGAGGTTATCTGATGACGCAATAAGAGCAGCAAAATAACTACATTTTGCTGCTTTTATTGCCACTACGTAATTCCTAATATGAGATCTTACAAGGGTCCAGTCCGATTCAGAAAGACTGGCCCTCCAACTACTCTCTAGGCGTGTTTTCTGGTGCTTCAACTCCCTCAGCTCCTCAGTAAACCAAGGAGCCAAATGAGATTGGCGCTGGGTCAGAGGCCGCAAAGGCACGACCCGATCCAGAGCTCCAGTGGCTGCCCTATCCCAGGCGGCCACTAGGTCTCCAGTCAAAGTCTGTGTCAGAGCCTCAGGAAATGGCCCAAGCTCCATCTGGAACCTATCAGGTTCCATCAGGCGCCTGGGGCAGAACCATCTTACTGGCTCCACCTCCCTGCGGCGGGGTGTAGTGGTTCGAAGGTCGAGATGAAGGAGAGAGTGATCTGACCATGACAAGGGCTCGGTAACTATATCCCCTATCTCAAGATCACTCAACCACTGTCCAGAGACAAAAACCAGATCCAGCACATTTCCCCCCATGTGGGTAGGGCCATGAATTAACTGGGTCAGGTCCATAGCTGTCATGGAAGCCACCTCAGACGTCTCACCCACGGATGGCAGGTTGAAATCCCCCATGACCATAAGTCTAGGGGTGTCAACCGCCATGGAGGCGATGACATTGAGGAGTTCGGGCAGGGCTGCTGCCATGTGGCAGGGAGGCAGGTACGTGATCAGCAAACCCATCTGAACCCCGTGACCCCATTTCACAAGGAGGGATTCACAGCCGGCCGTCTGAGGAACAGTGGCCTCCCTCAGTCTCAGACCTTCTTTAATGATAACTGCTACCCCCCCGCCCCTCCCCTGTGACCTCGGCTGATGGAATGCGTGGAAACCTGGTGGGCACATTTCAACGAGGGGAACCCCCACCCTCTGGCCCAACCAGGTCTACGTAATACCTGCCAGGTCCGCTCCCCCCTCCTGAACAAGTTCACAAATGAGGGGGGCTTTATTTACTATGGACCTGGCATTGCATAACATCAGCCGAAGGCCCAGGCCCTGAGGGTCTGTGCAACCTGTGGAACGAGTGGAGCCTTGGGGGCCGGAGCATGCCACCGCTCATAGACAGCGAGTGCACACTTCCCTAACATGATATGGCCCCCTGCTCCCGCCATATCTGCCCTTTCCACACACTGTATTGATGTTCGAAACACTATCCGGATTAGCTCTGACCCCCCCCTCGACCCCGGATCCCCCACCCCCCACACAGCACTTCACAGCCAGACCCGACCCTCCCCCTTGTGGGTTATCCCCCATACCCACAGCCCGAATTCCAATCTGACTCTCCCCCTCCCTGGGACCCCTTAAAAGTTTAACTAAAAATTTCGATAAAAAACCTCTCAACCCCCTGGTTTTCACATGCCACCTCTCTGGGTCCCAAAACCCATCATTGAGGTGGGGCCTTGATAGTGAGGAGGGCCACATCTGCGAGAGGGTGGAATCTTGCAGCGCAAGAAGATCCGCTGTCATGTACATCTCCAAGTGCAGCGATGGAGGCACAGAGCATAATCAGGGGTCTCAAAAAGATGTAGCATGGAGCCATTGTTCAATGATGTACCACTGGTATCTCTACTGTCCTCCCATGACAGTAGGGGGGTCCTGACAATTTCATCCAATGGGAATGACATCCGGCCCACCCTCTCACGGCGGGACCCTCAAGCAGCCATGGATCGAAAAAGTACTTCTCTCAATGGCAAAATCATGATGTAATAAAGGCCCCCTCAGCAGTTGCATCATTTGGCTGACCCATGGTCGGAGGGAGAAATCTATCAGTCTGTCAGTCCGTGAGTCACGCCGGGGGCAAAGATGGAAGTCCTTGGCGTAGTCTTATACTCAAAGATCATATCTGAGTAAATCCCGATGAAAAAGGGAAAAGGGAAGGGGAAAAAGAGGGAAGGGGGGGGAAAGAGAGAACCCCTTCAATCAAGGGCAGATAATAAGCCCATTTTTGGCATACACAGTACCCGGGAGGGGGGAGGAGAGAAAGGGTTGGTATCCATGCAACAGGGAAACCCTTCCATCGCCCACCAGCCCTATTCTCCTCAGTTCTTCCGGGATAACAACCAGCTTCCAGACCCCAGCCTCCATTGAATGCCACAGGGGGCCTCCAGGTCCTCTGCAGCCGCCATAAGATCCTCCGGGAAGGGGTCTCTCATCTCCAGTCCCAAAAACAAACCGCTTGTGCCCCTCTCAGTCTCGCCCCCAGCAAGCCCCTTTTGCTGGCAATAGAGTTTGGAAACAGCGTCAGTACTTCAGTGGAGTGTGCCATGGCCCAAATTAATATCCGGACTGACCGCGCCACCCCCGCTGATGCCAACACCACAATTCCTGGTTCCAAAGGGCCACTGAGGAGGTTTCCGAGTGGGACAGATGGAATTCAACAGGCTGCCTGCCACTCACTGCCACACTGCCGCCTTCGCTTTCACCTTCGCCGCTGCCGCTACTGACAAGCTGCTGCCAACAAACCACCATAACATCACTCTCAGCAACATTGGAGCAGCGGAGTGGCACAGCCACAGCTCTCTGCCATCGCCACCGACTCCAGGAATGTCCAGGGGCAAGGGAGGTCCCAAAACCCTCGCCCTGAGCTCCACCGACCGAAACTAGCCGCCGCCAACAAGCCACCATGTCTCCGCTCTCGGCAGCGTCGGAACGGCACGGCTACAGATCTCCATTGTCGTTTCTGACTCCAGGAATGTCCAGGAGCGAGGAAGGTCTCAAAACCCTCACCCCGAGCCCATCCGACCAAACCAGGGGTAGCTGATGACCAAGCGCCCCTGTGGTACCCCTAGGGCCACAAAATAGCCTCCATCCAAGCGCAGCGCTTACAACACAGCCGCCATCTTGCGCATGCTCAAGATCTTCTCTGATTTGTTCTTGAACATTCTGGCTATCCTCATCGGGGGTAAATGCCACCTGTAAAACATCTTATACAAATTCTCTTTATATGCTGTAGACATTGTCATTTTATAATTATGTGACCACAATTTTGCCATTTCTCTAAATCAATACCATAACCAAAATTTTTCCCCCATGCTATCATTGACTCTTTAACTTGTTCTTCTTCCAATTTTGCCTCTAGCAAGTGTCCATATAACTTTTTAATTACATGGTCATCAGAACCCATCAATATCTTATCTAAGGTAGTCAAAACACTATAAAAGCCTTCTTGTTTGAGATCTTCTCGATATCTAGAGAATATTTGCATATATGAAAACCAATCCATCTTAAATCCCTGATCTTCTAAGTCTTGCTTTAATTTAAGTTCACCCTTTTCATCCAATAATTCACTATATCTAACAATTTGTTTCCTTTTGAATATCACTGGATATGAAAAAGCTTCAGTTGTAGATACTCAGACTGGAATCTTCAAATAATGATATTTTTAATCCTCTCCCAATTCAAAAGCAAAGCTTCACGTATCTGATGTCTTCTAAAATACCTCTGTATTTTAGTTCCTTTGTACCATAAAAAGGCATGCCACCCCATCAACAAATCATGTCCCTCCAAATTCAATAGTCTAGTATTTTTCAATGTTACCCATTCTTTAGTCCACATTAAACTAGCTGCTTGGTAGTATAATTCAAAGTTAGGTAGACCAAAACCACCCCTCACTTTAGCATCTTGTAACAACGTAATTTTTATTCTTGCCTTTTTCCCTTGCCAAATATATTTCAATATCATTTTATTCAAATCTGTAAAGAAAACCTTGTCCAACTTTGTCAGAATTGTCTGAAACAAATACAACATTATAGGCAAAATATTCATCTTAATAGTTGCAATTCTCCCAATTAAAGATAGCTGCAAATGTCCCCATTTTTCCAAATCTTTTCCTATCTGTCATTTAACCTTATTATAATTATTTTCCTTAAGAGAACTACACCTTGCTGTCAATTGTATCCCCAAATATTTTACCTTATTTGTAACCTGTATATTTGAAATCTTGATCAATTCTTCTCTTTGCTTTTTCAACATATTTTTTGTCATTATCTTTGTCTTTTCTTTATTAATTTTTAGACCAGCCACTTCTCTGAACTCTCCAATTCTTTCTAGCAATTTATTTATTGATGTTAAAGGTTCTTCCATAATAGAAACCAAATCGTCTGCAAAAGCTTGTAACTTATAATCCTCTTTCTGAATTTTCATACCATTTATCTCCTTTTCTTCTCTAATATTTCTGTTTAGCACTTCCAATGTCAATATAAACAACAATGGGGACAGTGGGCATCCTTTCTTTCTTTTATTAGATTTATATACCACCCTACTCCCAAAGGACTCAGGGCGGTGAACAGGCACAAAATAAAATACATAAATACAAAAGTTAAAAGATATAATTAAAACCAGATTAAATAATTTGGCCCAACACAATTAAAAATCCCAAAAATTTAAAACAAATTAAAATTTAGATGTAAAAGAATTTTAAAACAGGGGAGAAAATTAGGCCAGGCCGGCTTGCTGGAATAGAAGAATCGTAAGAGCACGGCGGAAAGTGCGTAGATCCGGGATCCTCCGTATCTCTGGGGGGAGCTCGTTCCAGATAGTGGGTGCCCCCACAGAGAAGGCCCTCCCCCCTGGGGGCCGCCAGTTGACATTGTTTAGCTGACGGCACCCGGAGGAGCCCCTCTCTATGAGAGCGTACTGGCCAGTGGGAGGCTGCTTGTGGTAGTAGGCAGTCCCATAAATAACCAGGTCCTAAGCCATGGAGCACTCTAAAGGTGGTAACCAGAACCTTGAAGCGCACCCGGAAGACCACCAGGAGCCAGTGCAGCTCGCGCAGGAGAGGTGTCACATGGGAGCACCATGTTGCTCCCGTAACCACCCGCGCGGCCGCACTCTGCGCCAGTTGGAGCCTCCGGGTGCTCCTCAAGGGGAGCCCCATGTAGAGAGTGTTGCAGTAGTCCAGGCGAGAAGTGACGAGGGCATGAGTGACTGTGTGTAAGGAGTCCCGATCCAGAAAGGGACGCAACTGGCGAATCAGGTGAACCTGATGAAAAATCCTCCCGGTCACAGCCGTCAAGTGCTCTTCTAAAGACAGCCATGAATCCAGGAGGACACTCAAGTTGTGAGCCCTCTCCGTGGGGGCCAGTGATTTGCCCCCAATAGTCAGCGATGGCATCAACTGACTATATCGGGGCATCAGAAACCACAGCCACTCGGTCTTGGATGGGTTGAGCCTGAGCCTATTCCTCCCCATCCAGATCCGCACGGCCTCCAAACACCGGGACATCACTTCAAGGGCATCGTTGGGGTGGTCCGGGGTGGAGATGTACAGCTGGGTGTCATCAGCGTATTGATGGTAGTTCACCCCGAAACCACGGATGATCTCACCCAGCGGCTTTATTTTTTTATTTATTTATTTAATTTGTATACCGCCCTACTCCCGAAGGACTCAGGGCGGTGAACAGCCAAGCAATAAGATACATAAATACAAAAATTTAAAAAACCAGTTAAAATCGAATTAAATCATTTTTTGGCCCAGGCAAATTAAAACACCCCAATAATTTAAGAACAGATTTAAAATTTATGTATTAAAAGAGGGAGGAGATTAGGCCAAGCCTGCTTGATGGAATAAAAGAGTCTTCACAGCGCGGCGGAAGGTGCACAGATCCGGGATCCTCCGTATCTCTGGGGGGAGCTCATTCCAGACGGTAGGTGCCCCCACAGAGAAGGCTCTCCCCCTAGGGGTCGCCAGCCGACATTGTTTGGCTGACGGCACCCGGAGGAGTCCCTCTCTATGAGAGCGTACTGGCCGGTGGGAGGCTATTGGTGGTAGTAGGTGGTCCCGTAAATAACCAGGTCCTAAGCCATGGAGCGCTTTAAAGGTGGTAACCAAAACCTTGAAGCGTACCCGGAAGACCACCGGGAGCCAGTGCAGCTCGCGCAGGAGAGGTGTCACATGGGAGCGCCATGATGCTCCCATTACCACCCGCGCGGCCGCACTCTGCGCCAGTTGGAGCCTCCGGGTGCTCCTCAAGGGGAGCCCCATGTAGAGAGCATTACAATAGTCCAGGCGGGAGGTGACGAGGGCATGAGTGACTGTGCTTTACATAAATGTTGAACAAAAGGGGCAAGAGGACTGACTCTTGTGGCACCCCACATATGAGGGGCCTCGGGGTCGACCTCTGCCCCCCAACACAGACTGCAACCGATCGGAAAGAGAGAAAGGAGGAGAATCAACGTAATACAGTGCCCTCCACCCCTAACTCTTCCAACCAGTGCAGCATGATACCATGGTCAATGGTATCAAAAGCCACTGAGAGGTCCAATAGGAACTGGACAGAGGAGCAGCCCCTGTCCCGAGCCCTCCAGAGATCATCAACCAACGCGACCAATGCCGTTTCCGTGCTGTACCCAGGCCTGAAGCCCGACTGGAACGGATCCAGATACGTCATTTCATCCAGGTACTGGGGGAGCTGTTGCGCAACCACACTCTCAACAACCTTCACAACAAAGCGAAGGTTGGAGAACGGACAATAGTTAGCCAACACTGCCGGGTCCAGGGAAGGCTTCTTGAGGAGAGGCCTCACCACCACCTGTTTCAAGGTGATGGGGAAGTCTCCCTCACCCAATGAAGCATTTATAATCCCCTGGAGCCAACCTCACATCACCTCCCGGGAAGCCAGCACTAACCAGGAGGGACACGGGTCCAACAAACATGTGGTCGCGTTCAGTCTGCCCAGAATCCTGTCCACGTCATCAGGAGTCACAGGATCAAACTCATCCCAGATAACATTCTCAAGATCTGCCCTGAGTCATTTTGTTATGCAGATACTGAACAAAATCCTCAGTTCTATCCTCCAAGGGGTCCTCCCGTGCTTCCTGGTGGAGCAGGGAGCAGGTCACCCTAAACAGAACAGCCGGGTGATTATCTGATGATGCAATAAGATTATTGCCACTAGGTAATTCTTAATATGAGATCTTACCAGTGTCCAGTCGGATTCAGAAAGACTGGCCCTCCAACTATTCTCTAGACGTCTTTTCCAGCGCTTCATCTCCCTCAGCTCCTCAGTGAACCAAGGAGCTAGGTGAGATCGGCACCGGGTCAGAGGTTGCAAAGGCACGACCCGATCCAGAGCTCCAGTGGCCGCCCTATCCCAGGCGGCCACTAGGTCCCTAGTCGAGGCGTGTGCCAGAGCCTCAGGAAATGGCCCAAGCTCCATCTGGAATCTATCAGGTTTCATCAGGCGCCTGGGGCGGAACCATCTTACCAGCTCCGCCTCCCTGCAACGGGGTGTAGCGGTTCGAAGGTCAAGGCGAAGGAGAGAGTGATCCGACCATGACAAGGGCTCGGTGACTATATCCCCTATCTCAAGATCACTCAACCACTGTCCAGAGACAAAAATCAAGTCCAGCGTGTTTCCCCCTGTGTGGGTAGGGCCATGAATTAACTGGGTCAGGTCCATAGCTGTCATGGATGCCATGAACTCCCGAGCCATCTCTGACGTCTTACCCACAGATGGCAGGTTGAAATCCCCCATGACCATAAGTCTAGGGGTATCAACCGCCACTGTGGCGATAACGTCGAGGAGCTCGGGCAGGGCTGCTGCCACGTGGCAGGGAGCCAGGTACGTGATCAGCAAGCCCATCTGAACCCCATGACCCCACTTCACAAGGAGGGACTCACAGCCGGCCATCTGAGGTACAGTGGCCTTCCTCGGTTTCAGACCTTCTTTAATAATAACCGCTACTCCCCCACCCCTGCCCTGTGACCTTGGCTGATGGAATGCAAGGAAACCTAGCAGGCATATTTCCTCGA